ATGATTACATAACTTTCATGAGCACGTATCCAGTATTCCGTCTCCGTGTATTTCACAATTTGTTCTGCAATGACCTTGATCTGCTCATGCTCAGACTGCAACCGTGAACTGGCTTATTGGGTTGGATACTCAAATCTGTGTGTAATGCAATTATAATATTGGCGTGAATTCATGTACCGCTAATGGTAAAATGATGTAGAAATGACAGAATCCAATCTTAAATAAAAGCTACGAAAAATGCATAATTCGAACTGTTTGTCGTTTCCTCATTTATCAGCCGTGAATAAACATATTATGTTCTTAACTTATTTATTTTCTTGTTATACTTCATTTTGTTTCTACTTTATATATTTAAAGATTTTGATGTTCATAACTTATTTCGTTTTTAATATTATAAAAGCAGCAAGTTACGGGATCTTTTAGGCCTATCAATATAATAATTACTAAAGTGTTTTAGCTTATTTTCTATATATTGTTGTGTTATGGTTGTAAATTTGTCAGTGTTATATTACCTTTGTTTAGATGTCATAATTTTGTTGCTTTTTATCAATACGGCCCTGCTTGAGACCAGTCTTCGAATTGTTTCGGACTTCTACCGTGTATAAATAACATAAACTCAACTCAACCTTGCCTTGAACTTTTGTTTGTTTGTTTGTTTGTTTGTTTGTTGTTGAGAGAGAGAGAGAGAGAGATTTAAACATATTACATAACGACATGTTTCGTCTCCTTTGTAACTTTCATTCTTCTACATATTTATGTGCACATTATATCATTATATATTGTGGGTCCGAATTATCTGGTTATAGGGACCCCATCGCAATCCTACTCTGGTGCTCGAAGGAGATCTCGCCTCGATCCGCTTTATTCAAATCCAAACATTGATTTTCATTTTATTTGATACAAGAAGAAAATAAAATGAATTCTTAATTCCAAAATCTATGTTCTCTAGTATTTTGTTTTCGGTTACAGCCTATATAATACGTCCTATTTTGAAAAATTACAATTTCTCTATAAAAGATTGTATTGTGTACCCTAGCAATTTCACATTATTTCGTTCGCATTATTAAATAAATCCTTGTGATTCTTTAACTATTTATGTGTTTCAGAACGTCGATATCCAATGCACTTCGCGTATAATATTGTATGAATGCTTATGATTGATAGCATATCAATTTATATTTCAGAGAGTCATTCTAACCCTAGTGATATCTGAAGCAGTGCTCCTGTGTATCTGTTTTAACTACATGCCAGCTGAAAGATCATGCGACATGCATTCTGAAAACCAAATTGGCCGTTTGTCAAGGGATTCAGTAGTACTGACAAATGTCGATAATAAGCGAACTTTTCCTGATACACTGAATTTCAACCAATCTGTCAAAGATCAGTTGAGAAGAAAGTCACCCGAAGTTGGTCCTCTTCGGCCTCCGAATGTAGTCCCGATGGAAGTAGAGCCACATTACACTGTGTCCTATCAGAGGGACGTTCCGACCAATTACACGGATCTGTTCTCGACAGACAGTGAAGGGAACTGTAGAGCAAGCTCCTGTAAGTGGCCTAAGATGCCGGGTGCAACAAGGGAACTAGTAGCATCTGCTCCTGAGGTAAATATCATTTACGTGTTTAATAAACCCTATCTCACACGAGGCGTCATTTCGATTTCGTTATTACCTTTGGTACTCAAGTCTCTAAAGGAAATTGGTGCATGTGCCAATACATTCTAAGCAATGTTGGAACTCTTCAATTGACAATCACTTTTTGTAGTGTTACTCTTACGTATAGGGTCAAAGGCCCCATTAAACAACTACTCAGTCAAGGCAAATGACACATTGTGTGCTACAGGCATTATGCCGTTGACGACAATGCGTCAATTATTAGCGTCAGACTGCGTCACCAACAGGTGTGGTCTTTGACGCGACATCATGAGAAAGTGACATCTTACAAACGTTAAAAGAAAAATGAAAAGTGTTAATATTTGTGTTGGATAGCTGGGCGCATGTTTCTTCATAGGCTTGGTTAGCAATGGTGAAAATGGATTTAAAATGACGCCAATTCTGCAACGGGCATCGAACTATGTTTCTTTTGATTTCCTGCCTACCTTGAGTGCCATGTGTAATACCAATGCGCCAGTTGCTTGTGTCGATTCCTGTGTGATATCAGCTATGGGCAGTACACGGGAATATCTTGATGTAGAATGCAAATATGACACAGACCTATTTATTTATTTATTTATTTATTCAAGTTTTATTTAAAATAGAGGGTAGGTACATACAGTTTAACAAAACTGCTTTCCAAGTACGCCCTCTAGAACGACATAACAATTTTGTGATATACAAAAATACAAGGAATATATAAAAATATAACATTCATCAAAACTAAACATTGACATATTTGACATATCGGACTATAGATTTGTACACACTGCAACCTTGTAATATTTATGATCATAATAATAGTACTGCGCTAAGAAACATCAGTAGACCTATTATTATAAGTTTTTAAAATTATTATTATCATTATAGAGTACCGAAGCTGTGACGTCATCAAACTCTATTTTTTTAAAGAATTTCCCAAATTTTACTTCATTTTCCGAAAGAGCATCAAAAGTAAAGTACACATATCGAAACCCAATTGAATATGTGAAGTATTGGCTGAGATATGACCATCTGAATAAATAGATTTCTAATTGGAACTCAGTGTTATTTGCTCTGGTTCGTAATGTTATGTTATTTAATTCGAAATATCGTCTCTAAGCGCTTTAAAGATATTATTATTCCTATGTTTTTTTTTTACTAGTTTTATGAATACGTTCCATTATCTCTAGCTAGATACGCATACGACTCCATCAGGAAAACGGTGCGGATTCCTAAGTAAAATTTGATGTTGAAAACGAGGACACCGACTTTATATTTTAGGGGCCCACCATTGTTTCGTGCATTTAAGAATAAGTTTTGTGGATGAAAATATTTATTTGGTTTAAAAACTAACAAACAATACAATGTCATGTGGTATAGGTTAAGGCCCACAGAGGACCACAAGTGCCCCGAAGTTGCTCCAAAAGGGCCCAAAATGATTAGCTACTCCAGAAGACTGTTTTAAACTATTTCTTGGGGGTAATTAGAGTATTTTCGGTATATTCGGTATAAAAACACAATGGTACATTGTGGGCGTAAGGCTATGATAAAGAAATGTCTCAGGTACCATTTTTTTAATTTTAAGGGCTCAAATGTTAAATCATTTGTTCCAAGATCATAAAACTATAGTTAGAACATATATTTAATTTTCTAATGACATTTATAAGTGACTTTGAACGGCATTTGGGGGACAATTCATGGCATCCATGCTAGAGCTCATCCAGAATACCGTGGAATAAGGTAGGGGTGGATGCCACGCGCATTTTTCTTACACTAATTATGTCATTTTTGCCTCGAACTTTGAAAGAATGAAATTTTTTAAATTTTCGACCAAATATGTATTATCTTATTATCTAAGTTATTTTGTTCTTGATCCGTTACCAAGGTAATAGCCCTAGTGGTCACACCCACCGCCAACTTTATGTCAAACAACGCACTCTGATATCTAAGGGTCCTAACTGACAGAAAAAGATTAAGATTTTGTCTAAGGGATGGGAGCCATTTCAGTTTTGTCCCATGTCCACTCTGTAGATGTACACGTTTCACTCAAAATGCGCATCCTGTAAAAAGACATCAATTCACTTGGGATAACATAAAATTATGTATCCATTACATTGTCTGATCATTTCTTTCCTGTGTGTAGCATGAGAGCATATATCATATGTTTAATCTAGAAAAGGGGTTTCAATGGTCAGATTCATGGTGTGTAAAACAGACTTTGCAATATAGGTAGATTTTTTAACCCATATTCTTAGTAAATCGCACATTTATGTTTCATTGCGTCATACATAATATGTCTGCGATATCCAACATTCAAATATATATTAAGTTAACCAGGTGTATTACTTCAAACTCAAAACAAAAATTATATCAATTGGAAGCATTTTAGCGGATAATACATATTAGGTAAACAAATATAAATCGTGAATTTTGACATTTTTTCAAATTTTGAGCCAAAAAAGTAATTTTTAGTAAAAAAGTGCGTGTGGTATCCACCCCTATCGCATGCCTTAGTATTTTTTGCTAGAGTTTTTAGCATGGATGCTATGGAATCTTTTTCCAGAGCTATTTTTATGTCTGGCTGATCTACTGAGAGTTTAATGCTTGTTTTTAATTAAATCGCCCTTTCCATGATCGGCACAATGCACTGCAAATAGGAATGAACTTGGATATGCTTTCTGTTCTTTTTGTTTTTGTAATATTTCGAGTCGGGCAATTGAGTTGAGCATAAAAGGCATAGCCAACTATGTTTAGAATACTCTGGCTTCATGGAGAATCAATATCACAGTCCCAAAGGTTAAGAAATGTCATATAAATGATGAGTCAGTGTAACAATGCATGGTAAAACAAAAAAGCATATTGAGCAAACGTTTGGAAAGCATTACACGGCCATCGTTATCTTTTGGCGCCAGCCTCATGGAATGACCCCTAAAGCATTCTGGATAAAGTAATACATCAAACCGTCATTAAATGATGACGTTGAACTTGTTAATGTTCTTTTGCAATCTTTCTGCAGCTTTTCGAAAAGATTCCCCTACGTTTCCTGGACAATTTCAAGAATCCTTGTTGGTTGAGAGGTGAGACGGAACTAAATTGTCTGCCTTACTTCTATATCCTTGGCAATTACAAGTGTGGGACGACAGACATGTGGGACAAGATCACCGCTCACCCTGACGTCATCGCAAAGGTAGCCAAAGAACCCCACTGGTGGGGACCTAGAAGAAATGGATATACAGCCATACCCATACACCGACCTGAAAGTAGAGTCTTTATTATTTATATCATTACCATTATTATTATTATTGTTATTATTATTAATATCATTATTATTGTTATAGTGTTGTTGTTGTTATTGTTACTATTATCATTACTTTTAATATCATCTTTACTAATTATCATGATCATAATCATCGTCACCATCATTAATATCATTTATTCTGCAAAGACAAATCAAGAAAACAGTTAATACAAACAATAATAAAACTTTAACAGTTTGATTCAAATGGATGACGGAAAAAGTGAAAGATTAACTCAAAGGAGAATTAACCTCAAACTACATGTTCATTTCAGTTTGTAGGCCATTCAAAACATCTGAAAATTATAAAGCATCATACATTTGACGAAAGGGAGGACGTATCTCTTCTTCAGAATCCTTCGTCTTTCGTCGCTCTGAGAATTTTCAGAACGTCGCCATTGTGTTTGCGCACGGCCCGTTTTGTGACTTATCGCATGAATTCGACTGCTTTTGCGTACGTACGTTTCCCAGCTGTAAACTGTAAAATGATCACTTTAGATCACATCATTTTCCCCATCGTACTTGGGTTTTTTTCTCCAGAATTTTGTTTATCCACCTTCAGAGCAGCTACCTATAGCTTGAATATGGTCTGGAAACCGATGAAACGATTTCCCCTTGGTTTTCGAGGAACAATTATTACAACCAAACACTTGGCAGTACACCATGTTCGACGTGTATTGCATATAGATACATCAGTTCTCCATGCGATACGTCACAACCCGGAAGTTTTGAAGGGAAATGTCGACAAAATGGCAGCTTCCTTGGGGATCAGACAACTTCGTAAATATGGCGAAGTAGGGTCTCTTTATTGTATTCTTCTTTATTGTATTCATACTGGCAGTTTCATCGGAGTACACCGATAGAAAGAGAATTTCATCGCCTATTTCCCTTCTTTCTATCGGCTATTATAATACCCCTTTCATATAGGGCGCTAATTTTCATCGGATGCATCCGGACGCATTCGATGAAACGGCCACTATGAATGGTACAGAGGAGAAATAGCCGAAAGAAAGAAGAGAAATAGGCAATGAAATTCTCCTGCTCAAGCTCAAGAGCAGGAGAACTTCTCTTAATATCGGTGTGACTCTTTATTGTTGTTTTGTTTTCATGAAGTACTCCAAGCCCGCAGTCACACTGGTGGAACGGACGATAGTTCTCTGGAATGGTACCTTAATGTATATAAAGCATCAGTTGTTCCAGACATAATAAATAACAGGATTAATACCAAAGAAGGGATTGGTTACCACCCAAAGGTGTTTGGTGAGTATGGTACACGTTCCAATCGTGTTCGAGTTTAATAATACGAAATAAATCTCAGGTGCCGAATTTTAAGCAGTTACAAATTGAAACTCTGACTTCAGCCGCAATTTATATATTTAGATAAGGCAGAACAATTTAATTATCTGCTCATTAGTTTCTTTCTCGATATTTGATCTCTCCAAAATAGATGTCATTATGGTAAATGTAACTATCCTATTAGGAGGGGATATAAACATGGTGGCAGTCCAACTTTTTGAAAAGAAAGAAAACATTCGGTTTTAAAGCAATATTCTTTGATGATGGGGAAAGGGGTAAAATATTATCACTGCTTCTATGTTGGGATAAGACTAGGCAGATCATTCGTGGATGCAAGGTGTGTATAAGGGACAGTCTGTTTTCTTAAAATACTAATATAGTAATAATGACTGCTATGAGAGACATAGTTGTTTTTATAAGCTCAAGGGGAGGTTACATGATCGTGCTATCGCCCCGAGGCGTGCCGAGTTTGTTTGCTAAAATCCTTCCCTTTGAGACGCATATACGTAAAATGCCAAAACCAGTCAATTGTCTTTTGAAAAGTGTCCTAGGGATTTTTTCAAAAGACTATTGACCGGTTTTGGCATTTTAGGGAATGGCTAAAATCACGACTCCTATTTCGACCAATCAGATAGCTGGATTTCTAAAGTGAGGTATATTATGCTAGAAATTACTTTGAAAAGTGAAGGAATTGTTTCTTAATTAGAAATTAAAGAAACTTTATCATCATCGTCAAAATGAGATTACGATAACAGAGAAAACTATAGTACGTAACCTTTTCCTTACCAACTTTTGTTACTTAACCTTAACATAAAAAAGTAGACTGTACCAACTCTTTAACCAGGTGATGCTTCTATATCAACTGTTTACGCCATTGGACGAGAATGGATAAAGACTTTTCCGTATGCTGCGGAACCCCCCTACACCAACGCTGATCTTATGCACGCTCTTCAACCCAACGCAAAGTTTATTCTAATGATACGCAACCCAACAAAGAGGTACGTATTATAGCCCTATCGTATAGCAGGAGAAGATCACCACCCAAAAAAAAGAGGGGGGGGGCAATTCTAAAAACTTTCTGATAAAGGGGTAAGCGTTGTCACAGTTTTATTGCTACTTTACTCAAACAAATTTTTTTTTTAAATATCTTTCAGATGCATTTGGGACGAAAATTTAAAAGTTGGTATGATTATCGGTGTATATGCTTTAAAGTGGAAATTCAAAGAAAATGTCAACTAAAGTATCACTAGGAACTGGTAAGCTAACAGATGACCATCGGACAAGTTTTAGGTCAACTACATATCGGGTGCAGGCGCGTACGCAGGGGGGGGGGTTTGGGGGGTTAAACCCCCCCCCCTTTGGAAATTTTTTGTGTGTAAACCCCCCTAAAAAAAACCTAAAACCCCCCCCCCCCCCCCTTTTGGATTTTTTTTTTTTTTTTTTTTTTTTTTTTTTTAATTATTAAAAAAAAAAAAAAAAAAAAAATTATTCCCATGGCCGACCTAAAAAAGGTGACCTTACCCCCCCCCCAACGGAGCAAAATGTCAAATTTCCAAATTTCGAGACCAAAAAAACAAAAAAAAAGTGTCCTCTTACCCCCCCCCCCCCCCCCCCCCCCCCCCCCCCCCCCCCCCCCCCCCCCGCTTATTCAGCGGCTGGCTGAGTCGTTGCGAAATTTTCGGACCGATTTATAAATGTTAAAACCCCCCCCTTGAAAAAATCCTGCGTACGCGCCTGATCGGGTGATATATAAAAATACAAATACAACCACCTCCATAGCAGCTGGGATATACCTGAGATTCACCGGAAATATAACGATGTTTTAATGACGTCACAATATGGACCAAAACTGCTCAAACAGACGACGTCCTATAAAGAAGCTATTATTTGTCAAATTATAATGAGTTTAGTGTATATAGATGTAATGGCATGTCAAACCATTCAAAAGGGGGTATGACCTGATTCTAATAACTAAAATCTTTTGCTTGTAAATACACAGGATAGGGGTTAATTAACAATCAAAGAAACCAGACTATCAAATTGAAAAACCCCTGGAATGATATTAACGACGGCATTTGTTCCCTCTTGAAACGCCGAACATACCGCGGTGTGTGCAGCTGAATATACAATGGCGTCTTATTTTTTTTTTACAAGCGACAGATTCCTTTATTTTTGTATCGCTGCATTTGTCATCAAAATAAAACCATGCGCGGGGTTTAGAGTGAGGCAATATATTATACATTTAGCCTGACGGTAGTGAAGTAATAAAAAGAACTCAAGAAAAGATGAAAACACAGGCACTGAAAATGTGTGAGATGTCATGGGACATCGTCTGCTTGTGCAAATCATGTCCATACTGTGATCTCACACATCTCAGCAGCGTTCGGAGAGCTCTTCAGGTGCTATGCCGGGGCTGTATTTAAGCGTTTTGTAATTTATAATATATATATATGTATAATGTATAAACGTGTCTATCGAATTGGGGGAAACAGACATCGTGTTTTTAGTCCGCACGGTTTTTGGGGAGGGCACGGCGGCCACGTTTTTCTGAAAACGGAGGGAGGGAGTGGCTAAGGTAGGGAGGGAGTACCGGCAACGCACGGTGTAGTACGTGGCCCGCACGCCACGCCTGGACGTGAGCGGTTGCGTGCATCGTACGTTGCGCACGTGGTAAGTGCGTTGTACGTGCTTACAACGTGCTTACAACGTACGGTCTCCGTGCGGTTGCCACCTTATCGTACGGAGGCCGTACTTACACGTGCTGCTCACGTACGGTGTCCTTACTTACTCGCACGTTGTAAGTGCGTGCACGTTCGATTAAATCGGTGAGTTTTTCCGCCCGATGTCGGGGTATATATAGGAGGAGATTCCGATGTTCTCCAGAAGTCCCAGCTGCTGCTGCCTCAAGATGCCGCCCATTTCACCGCAGAGACTACATACAGCATAAATCAGAGCGCACAACGTGCGTTGTAAGTGCGGAACACGTGCTTACTCGGTACGTTCCACGTGAGTTCTGAGTGCTCATTGGACAGTTGAACTGGGAAAGTGGCGAGTAAGAACGGACCACCCACTTATCACGTGCGCATCACGCACGTGCAAAGTGCGCCTTCCGTAGAGCAAGTGACCGTGAGAAACAAATTTTAAAAGACGCACGGAGTCACTGCGTTGTGCGCTCGTTGGCAGTACCGGGCACGCGCGTCACACGCACTGGGGGTGAATCGGTAACCCGACCGCAGCCCGAACGCAGCGAAAGTTCCTCGTTCACTAAAAGTGCTACGATGTGTCTTCGTGCTCCCAAATCCGTACGGAGGCGATACTCACCACGTATGGATACTTAAATTTTGCCCACGTTTTTGCACGTAGACAGCACGCACTTGCAAGTACGATGGGTTGTGACCACCGCATAAGTGTACACAGCATTAATTCACTTCTTTTGTATTTATCCCCCGGTATTTCGAACTGGCATTGATATGTAGAACAAATATTGACACCTGTCCATTTTCTTTCCAAAATCTATATATCTAGTTATAAGGCTCATGTAAGTCATCGGTCGAAACAGTATTCATTCAATAGTATAACACTACTTTCTTGATCTCTTGTGTACAACGAAAAATTTGATATCTGCATACATATTACTTATAGATGTGTTGTTGTTGTTGTTGTTTTAGTTTTTGTTGGAGCGCATCATTAATTTATTTCAACAACCTCATTTTCAAGACAGTTTCATTAATGTGTTACATGTTCGAAATGAAAGTTGTTTTCGTTTCTTCAGTGAATTCTGTTTGACATGCTTAAACATTTTGGGTACTCTAATCAACCACTTGCCTCCATGCCATTGCTGTTCCCTTTTCTCTACTTTCTATTCGAAATTTGGTGCCCACCAGCCGGATTCTGGTTGATTTCTGCTCATTTCGTCTGATTTGATACGCTGTTTTCTCTAACAAGAACCATTCTTTCTTTAAATTTGTGGGGAGATCAGTAACTATTCTAATGCATGGTCACATTTGCTCTACGGCTAGGATACGGCGGCCGTACGTCTCCGAAATCGAGAGATACTCGCGGCGGCCGCAGAGAATCTGCGGTGGCCTCAGGGTCACCCTAGGGCGTATCCCTATCTTTACAGCCCGTACGGGTCGCCGTTGGATTATAACGCGGAGTAATAACTGGTTTCATGTCTAGGTTCGCCATAGCGATTATACAGTGTGAGTCAAAAAAAAGTTTACACCTAGAAAATTGCTAATTATTTTTAAGATCATCTATGAACAGTAAATTTTCAGGTGGGCTGTATCTAATACAGACCACAATATAATTTTGTTAAAATTGCCTTTATTACTTATTTATTTATTTATCAGGTGGGCTGTATAACGTACAGACCACCTTATAACTTCGTTAGAATTGCCTTTATTATCAGGTGGGCTGTATATAATACAGACCACCTTATGTTTTCGTTAAAATTGCCTTTATCAGGTGGGCTGTATAACGTACAGACCACCTTATAATTTCGTTAGAATTGCCTTTATTATCAGGTGGGCTGTATATAATACAGACCACCTTATGTTTTCGTTAAAATTGCCTTTATTTCTTTATTTTATTTCTAACCACTTTTTTGTTAACAAGATAACTTTAAAATGGCTCAATCAAATGCGTTGAAATTTGACACACATATGAATAGGCATATGGACAAATCACGGTAAGGTTTTTAACCTTGACCTTGACTGATGACGTTATCTAGGCGCCATTTTGTGAAATTTTCTGAAAATCAACTCATGATCATATCTTCATAACCAAAAGGTATTTCTCATTCATATTTATCATGATCAAGGTCAATATCAGTCCGGTCAATTTCAGGTCAAAAAACGCGCGCGTGCGCGTACGTCCGCGCGTCAGTGCGCGCGCAAAATTTTTAAATGCTCAAAATCGTCTCAAATTTATTTTGCATACGTTTCAGGTCATTTTAAGCATTTTATAAAAAATCGCGCGTACGAGCATGCGCGCGCGTTTTCGCGCGTAACACCATTACAAAACATAGAATCGCCATTTTTTTTTCTTTCATGATATTTCTCATATTTTTTCAAGGAATTTGATACCATGTTTATCTCTTTATGACCATTATTAACAAGATGAGCGTAAATTCAAGATAAATGTCAGTGCGCGCGAGCTCTTTTAATACATAGCATATATGGGCAAAAACATGCCTATACAAAATCCGTTATAGCTCTTTGGAATGCACCGGGATCCTCAATTTTTTTTCATATTTAGATAGAGTATGAGTCGGAAATATGATTCCATGTCTCATTTGGCCATTAAGTGTATCGTGACATCATTACAATGGCCTTGGAACTCAAAATACGAATTTGCATATTATGACGTCAGCATATTTATGTAAAATTGATTGTATCTCTGTAAATATTGATCAATTTTCTTCAAAATTTCGATATGTTGTAGCTGAGACAATTCTCTACAAGCGCAGTAATAATTATTTTTCATTTTGATGACGTCATCATAGTGAAAATTTTGATTAAAGGCCTCATGTCAAAAACTTCATAATTTGCGTGTTATGCCTATAGAAGGTGAATTTAGTTCACGTTATGAATCTACATGATATTGTTTTTTAAGAATTTGTAAGCAGTATGTCGCTTATTTTCCTCTATTTTGTCTCAAATTTTAGTTGACCAGCCCACCTATACTTGTTCCAAACAAGTATTATATGTCTAGTTTATTTATTTATTTATTTATCAGGTGGGCTGTATCTATACAGACCACCTTATAATTTTGTTAAAATTGCCTTTATTATTATCAGGTGGGCTGTATCTATACAGACCACCTTATAATTTTGTTAAAATTGCCTTTATTATTATTTATTTATTTTATTTCTAACCACTTTTTTGTTAACAAGATAACTTGAAAATGGCTCAATCAAATGCCTTGAAATTTGGCACACATATGTAAAGGCATATGTACAAAGCACAATAACGTTTTCAACATTGTCCTTCACTGA